TCATACTAGAGAATTAATAGCACAGCTGAATGTTCTAGAACAAAAAGAAGCAAACTCCCCCAGGAGGAGCAGACGCCAGGAAATAATCAAATTGAGGGCTGAAATCAATCAAGTAGAAACCAGGAAAACACTGAGAAGAATCAATGAAACTAAGAGTTGGTTCTTTGAGAAAATCAACAAAATAGACAATCCTCTGTCCAAACTAACCAAAAGACAGAGAGAGAGCATGCTAATTAACAAAATCAGGGATGAAAAAGGGGACATAACAACGGACTCTGAGGAAATCCAGAGAATCATCAGGGCATACTTTGAAAATCTGTACTCCACAAAATTTGAAAATTTAAAGGAAATGGACAATTTCCTGGATAGATATCACTTGCCAAAACTAAATCAAGAACAGATAAACAATCTAAACAGACCTATAACCCCTAATGAAATAGAAGCAGTCATCAAAAGTCTCCCAAACAAAAAAAGCCCAGGCCCAGATGGCTTCAGTGCAGAATTCTACCAGAAATTCAAAGAAGAGCTAATTCCAATACTCCTCAAAGTATTCCACACAATAGAAGCAGGAGGCTCACTGCCAAACTCTTTCTACGAGGCTACAATTACCTTGATACCCAAGCCACACAAAGACACAACTAAGAAAGAGAACTATAGACCAATTTCCCTCATGAACACTGATGCAAAAATACTCAATAAAATACTAGCAAACCGGATTCAAGAACACATCAGAAAAATCATCCACCATGATCAAGTAGGCTTCATCCCAGGAATGCAGGGATGGTTCAACATTAGAAAATCTATCAATGTAATCCACCATATTAACAATCTGCAAAAGAAAAACCACATGATCATCGCACTAGATGCTGAAAAAGCCTTTGACAAAATCCAGAACCCCTTCATGATAAAGGACCTAGAGAGATCAGGGATAACAGGAACGTACCTGAATATAATAAAAGCAATATACAGTAAACCAACAGCTAACATCAAACTAAATGGAGAGAAACTCAAAGCAATTCCTCTAAAATCAGGAACAAGACTAGGCTGTCCACTCTCTCCATATCTCTTCAATATTGTACTTGAAGTTCTAGCTACAGCAATAAGACAACAAAAGGAGATAAAGGGGATACAAATAGGAAAAGAAGAAGTCAAACTTTCACTATTTGCAGATGATATGATAGTTTACATAAGTGACCCAAAAAACTCCGCAAGGTTACTCCTAGAGCTGATAAACACCTTCAGCAATGTGGCAGGATACAAGGTAAACTCAAAAAAATCAGTGGCCCTATTATATACAGATGATGAAGTGACTGAGAAAGAAATCAGAGAAACATCACCCTTAAAATAGCAAAAAACAGCATCAAATATCTAGGGATAATGTTAACCAAGGAAGTGAAAGACCTGTATATCAAGAACTTTGTGTCTTTAAAGAAAGAAATCAAAGAAGATACCAGAAAATGGAAAGATCTCCCATGCTCTTGGATTGGTAGGATCAACATAATAAAAATGGCAATCTTGCCAAAAGCAGTCTACAGATTCAATGCAATCCCTATCAAAATTCCATCACAATTCTTCAAGGACCTGGAAAGAACATTAATCAACTTTATATGGAAAAACAAAAGGCCCAGGATAGCCAAAACATCCCTATACAATAAAGGAACTACAGGAGGCATCACCATACCTGACTTCAAGCTCTATTATAGAGCTATAGTCCTGATGGCACAAAAATAGGCAGGTAGACCAATGGAACCGAATCGAAAGCCCTAATTTTAACCCACACACCTATGAACACTTGATTTTTGACAAAGAAGCTAAAACTGTACAATGGAAAAAAGAAAGCATCTTCAACAAATGGTGCTGGCATAACTGGGTACTGGTATGCAGAAGACTGCAGATAGATCCATGTTTATCGCCTTGTACAAAACTTAAGTCCAAATGGATCAAAGATCTCAACATAAATCCAGCCACACTGAAACTTTTAGAAGAGAAAGTGGAGATACTCTTCAACGAGTTGGTACAGGAGACCACTTCCTAAACATAACACCAGTGGCACAGGCACTGAGATCGACAATTAACAAATGGGACCTTGTGAAACTAAAAAGCTTCTGTAAGGCAAAGGACACAGTCAAAAAGACAAAAAGGCAGGCCACAGAATGGGAAAAGATATTCACTAACTCCACATCTGACAGAGGGCTAATCTCCAAAATTTACAAAGAACTCAAGAAACAAGTCTCCAAAACACCAAAGGATCCAATTAAAAGGTGGGGTACAGAGCTAAATAGAGAATTCTCAGTAGAGGAGGCTAAAATGGCCAAGAGACACTTAAGAAAGTGCTCAACATCCTTAGCCATCAGGGAAATGCAAATCAAAACAACTCTGAGATACCATCTTACTCCTGTCAGAATGGCTAGAATCAACAACACCGAAGATAATTTATGCTGGAGAGGATGTGGAGAGAGAGGAACACTACTCCACTGCTGGTGGGAGTGCCGACTCATACAGCCTCTTTGGAAATCAGTATGGAGATTCCTCAGGAAAATGGGAATTAATCTACCATTAGACCCAGCAATTCCACTCTTAGGCATACATCCAAATGAGGCAAGTTCATACAACAAGGGCATCTGCTCCACTATGTTCATAGCAGCATTTTTTGTAATAGCCAGAACCTGGAAGCAACCTAGATGCCCCTCAACTGAAGAGTGGATAGAGAAAATGTGGTACATTTACACAATGGAGTATTACTCAGCAGAAAAAAACAATGGAATCTTGAAATTCGCAGGGAAATGGATAGCACTGGAAGAAACCATCCTGAGTGAGGTAACCCAGTCGCAAAAAGACAAACATGGTATGTACTCACTCATATATGGATTTTAAACATGGATCAGGATAGTGCCAGTCTGCACTTCCACTGATAGAGTCTGGGAAACAGGAAAGAGCCTAAAAGATATGCATATATACATAGTACCCAAGAGAAGAGGATTGAGACAAGATCCTCTGAATGGATGGGGAACACGGCGAGGGGTTCAGGGGGGGGGTGGGACCTGGGAAGAAGAGAGGGGGTGAAGAGGAAGAGAGTTGGTCATGGGGGAACAGGAAGTTGAGTGGGTGGGGGTAGAATAGGGGGAAGAGGGAATCATAGTATCGAAGACAGATCAGGTACCAGAGTGACCTCGAGTGATCTAAAGGGATAACACCAATTGGCAAGCTAAGCAATAGTGGAGAGACCACCTCAAATGCCCATTCCTGATAATGAACTTGATGTCTATAACCATCAGGGAGCCTTCATCCTGTGACTGATGGAAGCAGAGGCAAACACACAATTAATCACTGAACTGAACCCAAGGAACCCAGTAACAGAGAGAGAGGAGTGATGAGCAAATTGGCAAAGAATGGGCTGGCAAAACCAGCAGAGACAGCTGATCTGAACAGGGGAGAGCTCTTGGACCCCAGACCGACAGTGGGGAGGCCAGCATGGGACTGATCTGGACCCCCCCAAATGTGAGTGTCAGTGAGAAGGCCTGGGCAACCTATGGGGCCCTGAGCTGTGGATCAGTGTCTATCCCTGGTATACAAACAGTCTTGTGTGCCTATAGCACAAAGAGGGATGCTCTCTTAGCCTGGACTCTTAGGGGAGTGCCTGGACCCTACCCAGAGTGAAATGACAGACTCTAGATATCCCCTATGTGGAAGGATTTGGCAATAGGGTGGGAGGGTAGGGGGGAAGGGGAGTGCGGGAGGAGGGGAGGGGGAGGGAACTGGGATTGACATGTAAAACAAGCTATTTAAAATTAAAATAAAAAATGATATATAAAAAAAAACCACTGAAATCTTGAAATTTGCAGGCAAATGGATGGAACTGGAAGAAACCATCCTAAGTGAGGTAACTCAATCACAGAAAGACAAACATGGTATGTACTCACTGATATATGAGCACATGTGGGGCAGGGGGCAGGGGGGTAGGGGATAAGAGAGATCAGGAAGACTGAGACAGGGGAGGAATAGAGGAGAGTAACAGAAAGAGATACCTTAATAGAGGGAGCCAGTATAGGTTTAAAGAGAAATCTGGCACTAGGGAAATGTTCAGAGATCCATAAGGATGGTGTCAACTAAGAATCTGGGCAGTATTGGAGAGGCCACCTTTGATGCTCTTCCTCTATAATGAGATACCTTAATTGTCATCCTAGAGCCTTCATCCAGTAACTGATGGAAGCAGAAGCAGTCACCACAGCTAAGCACTGAGCCACACTCCCAGAATCCATTTGTAGAGAGGGAGGAGTGATAAGCAAAGGACCCAAGACTGTGCTGGAGAAACCCAAAGAAACAGTTGACCTGACCTAGTGAGAGCATAGGGACCCCAGTCATAAAGCTAGGGACTCAGCATTGGATGGAACCAAGCCCTCTGAATGTGGGTACCAGCTAGGAGGCCTGGGCAGTCTGTGGGACCTCTAACAGTGGAGTCAGTGTTTATCCCTAGAGCGCAAATGGACTTTGGGAGCCTATTCCCTATGGACTGATACTATTGCAGCCCAGATACGGAAAGAAGGGCCTGGACCCTCCCCCAAATGATATGATGGACTTTGATGATCCCCATGGAAGGCCTCACTATCCTTGGGGAGTGGATGGTTTGGGGAGTCGGTGGGGGGCATGGGAGGATGAGGGAATCAGAGGATTGATATGTAAAATAAGATTGTTTCTAAAATAAATAAAAAAATAAAAACATTTTTAAAAATACAAATAATGCTCTCACTATTTTGAGGAAAACCCACTTTACCTCTGATTATCAACATGTCACATTAGCTCTAAGCTTCCATTTCACAGAATGAACATTAGTATTTTCTGAATTAATTACAAAAGCCTAAGTAAGAAAAAGATTAACTCAAGGAAATGCTCAAGGCTTTCCCACATGTCTTAGCACTTCACAATCTGAGGGGCTTGGAATGGACTAGCGGGAATCCCTGCATTCAGAAAAGGCATCACTCATTGAGAGGTGTAGGACATACCCAATTGCAGCAGGGGTCAGGCGTGTGTGTAGCTGAGGGGTGGCAGAGGTGGTGGTGGTGGTGAGGGAGCCATCAGTGCCACTCTTCTCCCAGTCAAAAGGCTCACTCTCAATTACTCCAAAGGTCTTGATGCTGTTGTCAAATACGGATGTAAGAAGCTAAATGACAAAGAAAAAAAGCTAGAGTGAGCCAACAGTAATAAACTTAACATTCTTCTATAGCAGAAAGCACATCAGACCCACAAAAAGGATTTTTAAAACACTTTTTAATTATATATTTAAATTAGAAACAAGCTTGCTTCCCATGTCAGTCCCAGCTCCTTCTTTCTCCCCTCCATGCCCACTCCCCCCATCAACCCTCCCCAGCCCCCCACTCCATTCCCCAGGGAGGGTAAGGCCCTCCATGGGGGATCTCTAGAGTCTGTCATTTTGTTCCGGGGAGGGCCCAGGCCCTCCCCCAAGTGTCCAGATTGAGAAAGCATCCCTCATTGTGGGATGGGCACCCAAGGTCCATTTGTGTGCCAGGGATAAATATTGATCTACTACCAAAAGCCCCATAGATTGCCTAGGTCTCCTCACTGACACCCATATTCCGGGAGTCTGGATCAGTCCCATGCTGGCCTCTCAGCTATCAGTCTGGGGTCCAAGATCTCCCCCTTGTTCAGGTCAGTTGTTTCTCTGGGTTTCACCAGCCCAGTCTTGACCCCTTTGCTCATCATTCATGGTTCAAAGAATGAAAGAAACTGGGATTATGTGGATGACAAGAAATTAATGTCAATTAACTAATGTTGATTGTGGTACCACTGTATAGTTGTATGAAATATTTTGTTTACAGAAGGTTTATAATATAGCCTTTTATTTATAATTTATAATCTAGTAAAATCTGGTAAAAGAAATTATGTAACATCATTATATTTGGCCATATATATTCAGGTTTGCTCCATATGGCTGTTTAGTTATTTGTAAAGAAGACATTTTTATAATGAAAGAATCATAAAGAAAGTCCTTGTGCTTTCTTTGTGCATGTGTGTATCCTTTTCTTTTATGTATATGCCTATATACATAAAAGTCAAATTTATCCTTTCAGATACAATTCATTTTTAACCACCTGTCCATATGTACCATTTTTCAATTTCATGAGTACAGCTTCATTCTCTAGTCATTTCTCTTACTCTACAAGTATCCTGACCTCTGGCATTCATTTTTACAGTTCCTGCTCCAGACTTGAAACCAGCACTTCTCACTGGAGCATTTTGCCCACATCTTTGAGGTTTAAAAAAATGACTCTGGCTATTAAGCGGAAAACAGGTGCCAGAAACGGGGCTGATAAAAGGTGCTAAGAACCAGCTAGGAGGCTACTTGTCAGTTAAACCATCAGGGTAACAGAAGTGATTTGGATATGACTTGAAAGAGATGGAAGACCCTGTTGACAAAGCTGAGGAAAGCTGTGAGAGTAAGGACAGACTAAAGGCTAAGTTAGACTTCTGTCTTGAGCCACTGGATAAATTGTAGTGAAATGGAAAGTGGTGAGTTTGGTGACTAGGATATTCTGCTGGTGAATCATTAGCACATAAATACCAATATTTACAGTCATAGGGCCAACTAATTTCACTTAATGGCCTTAGCAAAGAGGTCTGAGAACAAAAGAATATGACTCTACCAAGGAAACAAAGGTTAGGAGTGACCAGTAAAGTCCAAACTCTAGAATATAGTGTTCTAAAAAGTAACCTAAGAAATCATGCTTCAATAAGGAGCATCAAACGCTATCACATAAGTCTATTACCATTGAGTATTTAATTAATTTTTCTTTATTTTAACCTACTGTAAGCCCCAAGAAGTCAATGCATGTCTGATCTTATTCATCATTGATTCTTCAGAACTGAAACATTGCCTTATAAATAACAGTAATTTTAAAGATACTCCAAGAATAAATACTTTAACTTTCACTTAATTACATAAAGGAAAATGGTATGGAAAAGGAAACAAAAGAGAGGAAAGGAATTAGAAAAGGCATGATTATAAAATTTTGGAAATTATGTAGGTTACCTGTGTTATAGTCTAGAGTACCCCAGAACATACCCCAGAAGTACAGGGTTACAGAAAACAAGAACGGCTGGGTATGTCACTCAGCTGTATATATAGTACTTCCCTCAAATATGTTAGGGCCCTGGATCTGATTCTTCAGACTACACTCCAGAAAGGGGAAAAAAAAAGAAAAAGAAAAAGGAAAGAGGCAAAAGAAAGGGCTGGAAGGAGGAAGGGAAACCTGGGGAGGATAGGAAGGGGACTGAGATCCAGAATTTTCTAAATCAAGGTTCTCATGAATTCTTTCAAAACTTTTTATTAATAATATTATTATCATAGATGTGTCCTATGATGCACACGTGGTTTAAGTCATTACATTCAGTTTTAAACAGTTCGTTTTTGTTAAACTGGGATATACAATAAAATGATTTTTTAAAGCACATTATTCAAGGCACAGAAAGGGCAATCAAAATGAGATTCTGAATAATTTGAATTTTCTATTTCTCTGTAATTTCTAAATGTTTATGTATGATTTTTTTGAGACAGGGTTGTGTGTGATTTTTAATAACAACAAGTTTAACTAAGATGTATTTTCTAAAGTATTTTGGGTCAATACCTACCCACATACAACCCACAAAAATGTTTGATGCTAGTTTTCAGTCATCAACAGACACTCAATGGATTAATATTCCTCTTATCCTTAGCACAAAATACAATTAATATCAGCGTCATTTATCTCCACATGAAATTTTAATTTGCCATTTGATAGAAAATGGACAGGAATTATTTGTAGCATGATATATTGAACTTCACTAAGGATCTTGATTTCTGAATTCTAATTGAATAAATGCAGACTAGTGAATCAATAAAGCATTCACCCCAGAAAGTACAATATTGGCTTGGCTAATTCAAAGATCATTCAATGAAAAAGAAAGGGCTTCACTTTCTTTTGAGATACATAAGTAGATGAAACAGGTAAAGAAATGCACACATTTTTTGCTTCTCTTTTCTTTGGAGTATTTTAACCATTTGTTTTCCATATGTACTGAAAGTATGTTTTCCAAAGCTGTATTGCACCCACACTCTGGAAAATAGACCCAGCAAGACAGAGGACAATTAAAGAAAACAATCTAGGAAGATACACAGTATTAACTGTTATCAAGGTTTCTTTTTTTAATTTTTTAAAGTTTTCTCTAATTTAAATTTTATGTGTCTGAGCAATTGCCTGCATTTATGTATGTGTACCGTGTGTGCCTGGTACCCAAGGAGGCTAGAAAAGGGCATGAGATGCCCTGGAACTGGAGTTGCAGATGGTTGTGACTCAAAGGTGCTGGAGCACAGTCCTCACCACAGGGCACAGTGTGAAGCTTGGATGTGGCTTTTATCAGAGGTCACAGCACATAGCTTGGGAATGGCTTTCTTTTATTAAGGTGATATTTTATAGAACTATCCTCTAGGTCACAGAGCTGGCATCTTAAGAAGAGGTGCTCATAGCTGGGCTTGTTGATGGTTGATGCTCCTTCACAGAATATCTAGAATACTTCTGGAGAATATCCAGCACTCCTTCCAGCTAGTTTTATGTAAATTTGTCTTAACTGCATTGGCCTTGAGGGGAAGAGCTAGAATATATATGCTGAGGAAGACTAGGGAGAAGGAGAAAGCCATCATCCATACAAAGTGAAGACTTTCTTTCCAGTTTAGTTGCTCTCCAGCCACCCATGCTTCTGTCAGTATCTCCTAATTCATGTGCTATAAGTAGGCCCAATAAAATAAATTCACTAGTCCCTCTGGGTAAACTCTGGCGAAATAGAATTCTGGACTGTGACTGACATTGCTCAATCTTTTCCCATGGAGAAAATTCTCACAACAAATGGGGAATTTTTTAGGTTTTGTGCTTCATGGCATAAAGAAAGAAAACTGATAAATAAAAGAAAATGTTAGGAGAACGAAAAAATGGAAATATTTTTAGTAAAGAAGAACTTATTTATGAAGGTTAAGATGGCTGAGTGTTTCTCCAGAATGGAAGAGAAAGCTGAAAGAAAGGTCACCTGCACGGTCTAAATACCCAAGATGAAAATGTAACTAAAGGCTAAAGGATTGTTACGTTTCTCTAATAGTATCTCACTAGTAATTTTCTCCTTGACAAAAAAAACTGTTGCTCAGATGGAAATTTTCAGACCCTGACTCACTGCTGCCCCTACTTACAGCCTAGAGATACAGGCCCACTATCATTTTAATGAATAAATTTCTTGAAGCAATCTGGAAGGCACTTAACACCCATTCTAGCCATGCCAAAAACTATCAAAATGTCTGAAAGCAGATCCTGGGTTCAATGTTTTGGAGACTAGCCTTGGAGTCCCAATGAAAAAGAGGAGACATCAATCAACAGATCACTTTGTAAGCCCATCAAGAGATTCTAATGAACTTTGATTTGGACGTTTAAAAATATCCTCTGTTTCAGCTTCTTCTACTTGCCTTTAGCACTTCCTCACATCTTTCTCCAAGCATCAGTCCAGGACTTGTGTTCTCCCTCACACATTGGTTGTTGTATGAAAGGAACACCCAAAGTTCTTTTGGGGTCTTTTAGACAGACCTAGTGGAGGAGTGCCCTGACTGCTATATTCCACCCCATTCAGCTGGAAGAAGTAACATCAGTCACTGCCCCAATTTTAGAGCAGCAGCTGGGGTTATTGGGGGGAGGGGATGTGAAAATAAGAGGTAAGATTTGGCTAGGAAGTTTAGGGTAAAAAGACTATAAAAAAAAGTAACCAGCACACCTTTAGGTACCAAGCTATAGAGAAACCTTGTCTCCAAAAAACACAAAACAAAAACAAAAAACAACAGAAAAAACAAAGTTAATTCCTTGTGTCAGGGACCTCCTTCAGAGACTCACAGAGACCACATTCATCAAACACTCCCTTGTCACTTTTTGTCTCTAGACACTTTAGAAAGTCAACATGTGCTGGCTGAGTTTTAAGGGAAAAAATGAAAATGTATAATAAAAAGGAATAGTAAGAAACCTTCCCCCCCCACACACATCAAATGAGGCTAGCCTGCCAAGGACCAATATTCCATATTCTCTTACCGCCCTGTAAAAGAAATTCAAATTTTTATTGTTGTTTTGTTTTTGTTTCTTGGGAAAATTTCTCACTGTGTAGCCCTGGCTTGCCCATAGCTTGCTATATAGGCAATGCGGGCCCTCAATTCACAGAGATCCACTTGCCTCTGCCTCCCAAATGCTGGGATTAAAAGCATGAACCAACATGCCTTGCTAAGAATTCAAATATTTTAGCCTCCCCTGTTGGTAAAATTTCTACTTACCCACAGACCCTGCTGCATTCCCATAACATAATGCCCCCTTCCCCCTTTCCTGTATGTCTTTTTGGGAAGCTTTCCAAATTAGCCAATCAGGAGTAGATTGTAATGTCGAACCTCAGCCGATGAGAAACAGCTAACCATCATTCCCTTACATTAGGAATTAAAGACGAAGACCATCTTAGTTACATGAGCTACTTGCTAGTCTGGCTTGGGTCATGGCATACCCTGTTTACAAAAAGAAACCATTGGTTACTTTCATTTGGTTCACATGTTTCTTTGCTCAACACCAAGAATATTTTTCTATCATTACTGTGTTAACTTCTTGCATGAACTAAGAAACATGTCCTTGACTCTAAAGAGAATATCTGGTAAGCTAACAAAACAAAGTATTGATTTTCAAAGTAGAGCTCAAGCTGGGCACAGTGGCTCATACCTTTAATACTAGCACTTGGGAGAGGCAGAGGCAGGGGGGATTGTCTGTGAGTTCCAGGTCATCTTGGTCTTCATAGTGTTCTTGGATTTTCAGGACTACATTGAAAGACCTTGTCTCAAACAAACAAATAAAAAGTTCAGCTCAGGAAATTACTCTGATATAGTAGGAAGTAGAACATACTGGAGAAGTTAACATCTGGACTGAGTTTTCAACTGAGCATGATAAGCAATGTTAGGACACAGACATTCTAGGAAGACATACTGGGATAAGGGCAGAAGAGGACCAAGACAGCCCAATCATACAAGTACAACAAGAATGAAAGGAGGAAAGGTTAAAGGAGTAGAGACAAGAAATGACCTAGTCCTCTCCATCTCCACTATTTATATCTAAGTCAAGGGCATCGTTATCTCTAGCCTCATAGCCACAGAAGACCATCCTTCCACTCCACTGCAAGTAGAACTTGACCAGTGTGATTGAGTTCTAGCTAGTAAGCCAAAGTATAGCAGATCAGTCTCAGACCTGGATAAGCATCCACACTAGTTCCTCCCCTGACTGCAAAAAGCCTGTATGCACAAGAAACCACTTGAGAGTTGTCTAGCAAAGATACAACAAACTGACTAGTGTAGTATATGATCAAGAATCTACATGGTGTTTAGACACATGCCCTTCTTCTTTCCAAGGCACTGCTATATACCTTCCCAACTCAACTCTTAAGTCTCCTTTGATTTCCTGGAATACATGCAACTGAAAAAGCTATTCTCTTAAAACACAAGTAGGGAATTGGTAAAATGACTCAGCTGGTAAAGATACTTAGTCGCAAACCTAACAAGACTCTACATGGTACAAGGAGAGAACTGACTCCCACACTTTGTCCATTGATCTATACATGCACCCTGGTATGTACAACTCCTTACATACAAATATGTGAATGTAAGTTTCAAAAGAAACACAAATTGGCTATTTGTTTATACTGTGTGAAGATGTATCTGTTTTGCCTCACCTGCCTAAGGCACCTGATTAGTTTAATAAAGAACTGAATGTCCAACAGTTAGGCAGGAGAGGACAGGTGGGACTTCCAGGCAAAGAGAGGAACTCAGGGTTAGAATCTGGCGTGGCAGGAGATGCCAGCAAGACACGGAGGAAGTCAGGCATACAGAATGGACGAGAAGTAAAAAGCAACATGGCAGAACATAGGTTAATAGAAACAGGTTAGGTTTTAAGAGATAGCTGGAGACAAACTAAGCTAAGGCCAAGCTTTAATAATTAATAAGTCTCTGTGTCATTATTTGGGGGCTGGTGATCCAAAGAAGTCCTATGACAAGGATCATCATATCCCTGATTTTGTTCTATTTGTTTTCAAGGTTTTCTGTTCATTTAGAATAAAATTCAAACTTCTTTAAAAGACTTATAAAGCCCTGCAACATCTGTCCTCCTGTTTCTCCAACCTCACCTCAAACCATTTACTCCTTTTGTGATATTAGGCTCCCTTGTTTTATTTCAATTCCTTTCTTACCACAGAATGTAGTAGGCATATGCTCTTGTATCTGCTTGTAACATTTTATCTCTTTAATTTTCTTCTTCATATGGCCACCACTGCCCAGCAAGCTCAGACCTTCTTGAACACTGATACCACACTGACACCAGTCCCCAAAGTACTCCAATGAATCGTATAAAACATTTCACTAACTTACCCTCTCCTGTCACCTGTTCTCTCCCACTCATTGTTTGTGAAAGAACAGAGAGCAAGAAAGAATCATACCTACTCCATTCTTCCCCCAAAAGAAAATAGCCATACTTTGTTCTGTTACCAAGTGATAGACCTGACCCTTAAGAGAGCATCAAAAAGAAAAACTTGTAACAGCAATTTAAGTAGACTCTTCAAATATTAGCTGGCATATGGCAGTCTTTCTTAGATTTTAAGAATAACCAAGAAGCAAATATGAACAAAATCCTAAACTTTCATTTAGGGTTTTGTGAATTTATAAATAAAAAATTATCAGTGCCCAGCCAGGTGATGGTGGCACATGTCTTTAATCCTAACTAAAACACAAGGAATCTGACATCTTTTCTGACCTCTACAGAAACCAGGCACAGACACAGACATACATGCAGGCAAAACATCCATTATATATAAAATAAATATAGTTTTTTAAAAAAGGACACTTTTTCTGGGCATAGTGGCAACAGTCTAATCCCTAGCACTTTGGAGGGCTAGGGCAAAAGAACTGTAAATCTGAAGCCAACCTGAGCTAGACAGTTAAGATTCTGTCTTACACACACACACACACACACACACACACACACACACACACACACACTGAAACAATTCTAAAACAATGTATTGTCTCAATATGGGAGACAATCTGTGTGTAGTTTATTATATCAATAGTCATATGGGAAGAAGACAAGTTTACTCATTTAGGTCTCAGACCCAAGGTTTGTTGACTCTGCTGTATATCCTGTCCATACCTTAAATAGCAGCTGAAATTTCAAAGAGAAGTAATTACTATATGAAAATGAAACCACTTTGGGATAGGCATGGATACTGACAACACTTTAGAATTTAAAACTTCCATTAGTTGCTGGGTGTTGGTGTTACACACCTTTAATCCCAGCACTCGAGATGCAGAGCTAGTTCCAGGACAGCTAAGACTGTTACACAGTGAAACCCTGTCTCCAAAACAAAACAAAACAAAACACTTCCACTAGTAAGCAGTGAAGTCCAATGAAGATAAAATTATATGCTAATATATGTTATTATTACTATCTGTGAAGTTTCATTTGTGTTTTCAGTAAAACAACTGCTTTGGCATTAAGCTTGACCAGGTTCTCTCTGTGAGCAATACAATTTGATGTAAACCTAGCTGATCATTGAAAGGCTTGATAACTGCTACACTACATAATTCAGTGGTCACAGACAGAGCTAGTAGCATATACTGACTGCCAGCCAATATCATGGACAGCCCTCAACAGATATATTATGTTGTACAGTTCCTTCTGGTCAAGAAATTACTATAAAATTTATGTCATTAGAATTATCACCATGCTCTGTATCAGTGGTTCTCAACCTTTCTAACACTGCAACACTTTAATAAAGTTCCTCATATTGTGCTGATCCCCAAACATAAAATTATTTTCATTGCTACTTCATAACTATAATTTTGCTACTATTATGAAAGGATAATTTGACCCTCAGGTTGAGAACCACTGCTCTATGTATAAGTAAATCACATCAAGAACAGAAAAATTTGCTATATAATAAATCTAACCATGAAATAGGTTCATCCAAAAGACTCTCTGACTCTCACTCTCTCTCACACACACACATTCATACACCCATATCAACATCATGTTAACTTTACTTTTCTCAGGCTGTATTAAGTAATGCTACTATAGGCACCTTCCATATTTAATTCTGACATTCTTAAAAGAAAGAAAAATCAACGTACAGAACTCACAAAGATGGTTACCTGGTAGTCTGGTTTTGTAAAATAATCCAAAGAGGAAATATGGTCAAGAAAGGTGCTGAATTCGGAAGGGAGGTGTTTCAACATGAGCCTGTGGTCATACCTCTCTTTAATGGAACCTACTTGCTCCTGCAAAGTAAAGAGAACAGGAACCAATGTCAGCTTCTTTTGGAAGCTATAATTATAAGCCCAGAGCTAACAATCTCAAGAGAATGTACCAGGCTATGGGAGGACAGTGGTGAAGTACAAAGCAAGAGAAGCTCTCACTGACTCTTTACACACAGTGCTTCAAAGTGGGATGGGAAGATAATAAAATGCGAAGCTAACAGAGTGACATAGAGTTTGCAACAGTGAACTCATGTTCCCCAAGAGTTCTTTAAACTGCGTTACTTTCCTTTATCAAGGTAGTATTAATAGTTATTTGAACAAAATAATCTGATAATTAAAAACTAAAATCTATAAATTCACATCAGAAGAAATGCTATTCTTATAAGATGTAACTATTTTTAATATACATAAAAATCATAATATTAATTCTCTAATATCAGTTTAGAGAAAACACATACTATAATGCAGTGAAGTTGCTTATAGATTTTAAGTTTCATATGTAAGCAGATTTTCTTTTTTAAAAATTGGAAATACAGTTCACGACTAAACTGATACTCAAATACAAAAATATACACCTATAAGAGAGATTATGTGAATTTTTTTATCTTTTGCTTTTCACTTACTATTTTTTTTTTGTAGTGCTAGGAACTGAGTCCAGGGACTTACACACGAATTATATGCCCATCTGTTCTACATTATGTCTCAATATATGAGGATATTATACTAAATATTTTTCAACAAAAATGCTTACTGAGGAGAAATTTTTTAAATTTATCAAGACAGAGTTTCTCTGGGTAGCCTAGCTGTCCTGGAACTCACTCTGTAGACCAGGCTAGCCTGGAACTCACAGAGATCTGCCTGCCTCTGCCTCCTGAGTGCTGGGATTAAAGTGCATGCCACCACCCCACCACCACCCAGATTGAAGAGAAATTTTATTCTTTCCCTATCAAAACTGACATTACAATTCAAAATTACCTTGTCCTTGATTTTCCTCCAAGGCAGCTGACCAACCACAAACTCTACCAACATGTAGAATAAGGACCAAAGGTCATCGTGTCTTCCCATTTCCTTGAGATATGAGAATTCAGTCATATTACATTACAAAATTTTTGAGCGCATTACATTGTTTAAAGCCCAACCATTAATTTCCCATAAATCATCTTGTAAACAACTATATGCCGCATAGTTATGTATCAATCCACATGCAGAATATATTTACTGAGAAATGTTTTGATATAAATATCCTACCTGGAGATGCAGTTCAGCAACAAATTAGATCACTGAGTATGTGTAAGACCCTGGGATATTCGCAACACCACAAAAATATAACCACCAAAAAGTAAAAACAACACAGGGCTGGAGATACATCTTAGTTGGCAGAGTAAATGCCTAGCATTTATGATACGCAGTGCCATATAAAACTTGATGTGGCAGTGCATGCCTATAATACCAGCACATGGCAGGGAGAAGTAAAGTGACCATAAGTCCAAGGCCATTCTTGTTGCAAATAAAAGAATTCATACCCAAATTAACCTAACCCAAACACAATTCTTAACATTAAAAATAAAGAATAATTCTAAATGTTTTCTCTTTTCCTTTCAGTTAGAAACAAGAAAACTGATGTGTTGGCTTATTGTTTTTGTTGCAATGTGGGGCTTAAACCAGGTCTTCCCCATGCTAGTCAAGAGCTTTACTGCTGACTTACATCTCCATGCCCCTTGTTACATAAACAAAGGGCTTGATGTACAAAAGTTAACGTATATTATAAAGAAAACAAGCTAAAGAAAAAAGAAAACAACCTATGTTCCATCAGATATCAACAGTATTATATCCACTATTAAGTGTTTTTATTGTGTTGTTTGGGGTGTATATATATGTGTACATGTGTGGGTCCTCATGTGCCATACTAAGCATGTAGAGAGCAGAGGACAACCTGCCGGAGTTAGTTCTCATCTTCCACTATATGAGTTCCAAGGATCAAACTCAGATGTCAGACTAGGTGATTAAGTACCTTTACCTGATGAGCCATTATGCTGGCCCCATCCTACAAATAATTTCTTAGAATAGAATCCAGGTATTTTATTTCTTCAAACATCTATATTTAATTTTCAACACTAATACATAATTAACCAGATGCATTCCCAACAGATATACTTAGCTGTTGCCTTTTCTAGCAAATACAACTTCATTTTTTATGCAGCTGCCCATATCTATTATCCACTATACATGAATTAGCATTAAACAAAACAGTGAATCAAGACAAGAACCCTCAGCTCCTGAGCACTTTTTATACCTCTGAACTGAAATATAAAGGTATCAGGGTGATGCAAGTCATAAACATGCAGTTATGACAACCCTGGATCACATACATACCCTATTACGATGAGCATTGATTGATGCATATCGAACTGTCCCTCGAAAGCCTGCCACAGCACGAGGCTACAGTAGAAATTAAATAGCAAAAAATTGAATGCAGTTGGACACATGAAGCAAACAGTAGAGCATTGCTATCATAATAAAACACTATTCATAGTAATTTTATAGTGAGATTACAAAAAAGTGGAGAACAAATATCTCTAAATCACAACTTAAAATACTGATGTTTTAATTATTTTGGTCCTGTTTTCTTCTATCTGTATCCTCAATTTCTATTAATTTATTAGTTTGTTTCGTGTGTGTGTGTGTGTGTGTAATGTCATGGTAGGGGATGATGAACGCTACAGTGTGCATGTGGATGTCAGAGGATAAACTTTGGGAATTGATTCTTTTCTTCTGCCATATGGGTCCTGAGGATTGAACTCAAGTCATCAAGCTTGGTGACAAGTGCCTTTTCTGCTGAGCTATTTATAATAGGCTTATCTACCTATTTTAAAGTGTGATGACACAATGATATTGGGCTAGGGAGATGTAGCTCATTGATAGCACAATCACCTACTATGGGCAAGGCTTTGGATTTGATACCAAGGAGAACACACACACCCCAAATGTGTTTATGAAATATACATCTCTGTACATTAGGAAAATCAAATGTTTTTATTGACCCAGAATCATGTCAAGTACCAAAGCATCATGGCATACACATTAATGCCTAGGCTCTGGTTAGAAATACATACAAGAACATGAAGAACCACTATATAATGTAATATGCCAATCTCACCATATTTTGCCTATTTTATTCAAATTTAATTTGAAAGAGGTTATATCTATACTTACCTGCATAAGCAATTTACATTAAAATTTAAGTTTTTGGATACTTAGTAATGCTAGGTAATAGAGATGAAGTCAAACATGACCATACCCCAGACAATATAACAGCAAATAAAGACCACATGCTACTTGGCTTAAAAGACTTTCTATATCTTGCCTTCTCACTTTACACTTGCTATTCTTCAGATTCTTCAGGCTGTTACCTCACTGCATCCTTCTGGGCTAACTCTTGTAACTACAACCTCTGCTTAGAGCACCTACACAGAAGCACTAACTGTCGGAATGTAGAACACCTCGCCTTGCTTGCAATGTACAGGTGCCATGCTTTTAGATTGTCTTTTACAAGCCCCACGGCAGGTTTATTTGTGTGTTTATTACCTATTTGTTTACATTTTTATTTACTGGTTGTCTTCATTCCACAGGATACATTCTGGGAGAGTAAGATCGTGCTTGTTTTATAAACAGAGAAATAATCAATCAAACATATAATACAGAAGAAAACAGCATTAACAAATAAGACCAGGCAAAAGAACAATTATCACTCAAGAGCCCAATAAGGATCCATGGCATAGAAGAGATATGACAATTATGTTAAAATATTATGGAAGTCTATTAAATAAAATTATAGCCAAGAATTTCATAAACCTAGAGAAATAAACCCCTGGACACAAGGGGTTTATTATGAAGTATTATGAACTTCAAATTGACATGACCAGAGAAGAAGCTATCCTGGCATATCACAGTCAAGATGTCAAAAATACAGAGCACTGTATTCGGCTGTGGTTGTCTGTGATGGTCTCCATTTGCTGTAAAGAGACGCTTTTATCTGTGAGTAAAGGATAAGGTATAGAATGAAGTAAAGAGTTATGTTGATCCAGCAAAGTGGCAGTAGTAGACTCCTTTTTCTTTCTTTCATTCTTGTGTGTGTGGGGGGGGGATTTAAGACAGGGTTTCTCTGTGTAGCCCTGGTTGTCCTAGAACTCACTCTGTAGACCAGACTGGCCTCTAACTCACATACATCTGCTTGGAGAGTGCTGGGATTAAAGGCAGGAACTACCACCACCTGGCTAGTAGATTCTTTGTAAGGTCCACAACCTCACCAGCCCCGTGAAACTTACTAGGTTTCCAGTCCAGTACCAAGCATGCTTTCCCTCCTGTTGAATGGGCCATAAATCCAGTTAGGCAGTTATTGCTTGGCACTGACAAATAAGTGCCAGTTCTCACAGCTCTATGCACATCCTCCCATGTTGGTAATTGTCTTGGTTAAAGGTGCTGCAGCTGGGCAGGACTGTTTAATTGCTTCCCTCCCTTGGCAGCTGACATTGTATTTCTTGGAGCCTTGGAAGTGGCAGTAGAGATCAACAGATCACGGGGATCCCAACTCCACTGGATAAACTTACATCATAGCTCCTGAAACTATGGCTCAGGGAACATCATGGAAGAGTCAGAATATCAGGAAGTCTGCTGTGACACAGTCTCTAATAGAATGGCTACATAATCAGCACTGGGACAATAGAAATGTAAATGGATACATTAACGTGGAATGGAATATTGCACAGGATCCCACCCAGGCAAAGAACTACAGATAACTACTGACTGCTGAGGAGGCGGAGGATCAGCCTTTCCCTGGGACGAGCCCCCTTATTGTGTCCAATGCTGAGTGGTCAACCTTGAAACAATACAGACACGAATGACAAACAGACTCAACAGGTTGTATTTATATTGTACATACTAATACATATATACATAAGTATGTAACAAATACAATCAAAGAAAAAGAGGCTATCTCAAGACTACCCTTGATGGGAGTGTATGTGACAGGGGTTCAAGAGAAGAGTAGCTGGCAGAGAAAGATGAAAGAAGGAGAAGTTAAGTAATCTTATTTCAACTAAAAAACATTTTTTATTCATAAAAATATAAACCAAAGAAACATTACCATGGCTGAAAGATATTCTCTTAATTTCTAGGACATAAGATTCTCATATTCAGTGCATACCTTTGAATCCAGCACTTGGAATGCAGAGGCAGGCAGATCTCTAAGTCTGAGGCCAGTCTGATCCACAAAGTGAGTTCCAAGACAGCCAGAGCTACACAAGTGAAACCCTGACACAAAAAAATTCCAAAAGAACAAAAAAAGATTCTCATATGCCTAGACCTTAATTATAATTTTCTTATTTGTCTGTATAACTAGTATACAATTGGCTCAATCAAAGCCAAAATTTTAACTTTTTTTTTTGGTTTTTACGAGACAGGGCTTTTCTGTATTGTTTTCGAGGCTGTCAGTCCAGCCCAGCCTCGAACTCACAGCGACCCGCCTGCCTCTGCCTCCCGAGTGCTGGGATTAAAGGTGTGCGCCACCACCGCCCAGCCCAAAATTTTAACTTTTATACCACTAGTTAGCCTGACAAAAATAAAAATCACAGTGAAAAAACAAATTTAAACAAACTAAAAATTTAGAGTAAACAACAGAAAAGTTATAATCGTAGATGAAGTGCCAGCCAAACAATATAGAGGTTGCCTGGCTCACTTCCCAGGAAAGTTGGTAAAACATTAGTTAAAAACAAAACACGTAAGCCTCTAGAAACAGCTTTAAAGGCAAACAAAATATTTTCAAGAAAAGTTGTGAACATCCTGTGGTATCCAAACCAAGACTGCTCTCTACTCTCAGCCAGGTTGACTAAAGTGACTCCATTCCAAACTGCTGCAGTTAGGAATACATGACTAGCCTCCCCATCAGGGTCCACCAAGGGCTCTCTTTCTAGAAGGAGCAGGACTGGAGCATTTCCACCTTGTCTGAGCAGCCTGCTGGTAAAGAGAACGAGATGTGCTTGGTGCACTGTCTCTGACACACGTTCTCCTGACACGACTCTAGCCAGACTCCCTGAAGTCTCTTCTAAAGTTGGCCTTGATTAGGGGGCATCTTTGTTTGTCTTTCCTAGTCCAGTTTGGCAAAAATATGTGTTTTTTAAAAAATTGTTTCTTTTTATTTTATGTGCACTGGTGTTTTGCCTGCATCTAAGTGAGGGTGTCAGAATCTCTGGAATTGAGTTACAGACAACTGTGAGCTGTCATGTGGTTGCTGAGAATTGAACCTCAGTCCTCTGGAAGAACAGCCAGTACTCTTAAATGCTAAGACATCTCTCCAGCCCCAGCAAAAATCTTAAGAGGTAAGTTCAGTAAAAATCCTCTACCTGGACAGATTTTACCTGGCTTCAAGCACCTTGCTTCCCCAGAAGTTGGCTGCCATCACTCTCCCTAACTCCACCCTTCTTCCTCTCTGTACTTTCAGCTTGGCTTTCCCACCGAGCCTTAGTTTGCCTTGCTACAGGTCAAATCAGCTCAATAAACAATGAGAGCAACACATATACACAGTTTACAGAAGGATTATCCCACAGCATTTCCCTCTTTCTGTCTAATCAAAAAGGGAGGTTTTAACTTTAACATAGTAAAATTATATACAACAAAACAATTACAATATCCAGTCCATTTGTATTTAGCAAAATTAAGGAAAATACCTAATTATCTATCTTATCTTGGTGAGTTTAAAGTTTTATATCTAATTTACCTTCTTTATCATAACTAAGAAAAAATGATAATTGTAACAATTTAGTCTTTAACTCCATCAAAGACCTGAGAAGGAAATAATATTACCTGAGTAAGCAAGAAGTGCAGAGCAAGTGACTTCCAAAAAATGTGAGAAATAACAGGAACAGCTGGCTGCCTGGACAGCCACCCAAGGTTCTCTGTTGAGATATCCATCTTTGGCCTACAGGCCCAGCATATCTGACAGACTTTCCTGTGTAGTAGGAAATCCTGAAAGACTGTCCTATCTTGTCTTGGTAAAGCTCTGCAGTCACCCTTCTTGTGTCCTGCTGGTTCAGTTTGGACAGTAACTATCAACAATTGAGGAAGGGCAGTTTGTTTGCCCACATGGCTAGCATTTGCCATAAAGAGAACAAATTTCACATGGAGTTTCTTTGATGCCCATCATCTTTTTTTGGAGTATTTTGTTGCTGCCAAGAGCAGATGAGTCTCACTGTCTAAGTTATTAAAAACATTTTAAAGAGCAAATTTTGTAGGTCTTTGAAATGTTTGAATAATGCCTATCTATCTGAAATATATCTTTGTATATCTAGAAAACCTTACTAACATGACTATAAGTTTGACTATTATAGATGACTAACAGTATTTTTGTAATTCTGTATTTCTTAATTATACATTACATTTTTAAATAAGTTGCAGAAATATAATATCTTAAACAGGTGGAATATACATATATCAAAATTAACTTTAAATTTGTATCAATAAACTAAAATTCATACCAATGTAAAATATTTTGAGATAAGCAATTGTTTTTTAAAATATTTATTTCTTTTATGTATATGAGTGATCTGTCTTCATGCATACCACAAGAGGAAATCAGATCCCATTACGGATGGTTGTGAGTCACTATGTGTTTGCTGGGAATTGAACTCAGGACTTCTGGAAGAGGAGCCAGTGCTCTTAACCACTGAGCCATTTCTGCAGCTCAAACAATTGCTCTTTGGATTAAAGTAGATTCAATAATCTACCACCATCACTACGACCCCCACCCCCGCACCATTTCTATATCACACAGGGTTTCCCCTTGTACTTTTATAGACTGCCACTTGCCCATGTGTCACGTCTGTCTCCTCTCTATCCAGAGGCAGTCCTTTGTCATCTGTCTTTTGTACCCTCCCACTTGACAAATATTCCTCCCTCCTCCCTTGCCCTCCATCTCCTATCTTTGCCTCTTACCCCCTGCCCTTTGTCCCCACGGAGTAAATAAATCTCCTTTGTGCTGAGAATCTGATCTTGGGGTATCTCAAGTCAATACTGATCTCTTTAATGTTTCCTACTGATTATATGCAGCTAATTCTAGACATTAGTTTCTTAATCTTGTAATCTACTGGTTTCAATACAAAAACATCCTTTTTTTATTCACTGAGCTTCATACCTTCCTCCTAACATTCATTCTCATACATAATTAGCATTTCTTTAAACTGATACTAGAAATAGTTTAATTATCAAATATGAAATAGTAATGAAAAAGCTTACTGGTCTGACGTCCCCACAGGAATTGGTAAATTGTCGGGCCAAGCCAAAATCAAGCATGAAACATTTCCTACATGTACTGGGAAAGCGTCCCATTGCGAAGTTTGACTAGAAAAAAAATAAAGATGGAAAATATATATTCTTATAATACTCAGTCCTGCTAACATTTCACACTACATGAATTCTTCTAGTTTATATAGCATGTTCCAGATACACTACTGCAAGTCTATGGTTTTTACTGTGCATTAATATATAGTATAATTTAGTTGCTGGACCATAGTGAAATATGCTTGTAAATACAATTAGTGACTTGACAAAGAGTTGTTAATGTCTGTCTACCCCCAGGAAAACTGAGCAAAAATAAATTTAAATGTTTGTATAGTTACATATAATAATAACATAGTTACATATATAGTTCCTTGAGATTCTAGTTAAAGTTACTGCTCAAATGACAATCCAACCTCCTAAATAAGGGAAGCTATGGACAGAAGAAACCCACATACTGTAAAAGCATTTTTATCACTTCTCAACCTTTTAGTTAAGTATAAAGGTTGGCCATGATATGATGGTGCATGCCTTTAATTCCAGTACTAAAGGCAGAGGCAGGCTGATCTCTTTAAGTTCAAAGTAAGACTGGTCTGTATGACACGTTATAGATTGACCCTGTCTTAATAAATAAATAAACTGGACAGTGTGGCATATCCCTTTATTCCCAGTGCTTGGGAGGCAGAGGCGGGTGGATCTTTGAGTTTAATGCCCAGTCTACAGAGATAGCTCCAAGACAGGCTCCAAAGCTACAGAGAAACCCTGTCTTGAAAACTAAAAAAAAAAAACCAAAAATCAGTATAGCCAGATATGATGGCATATACTTTTAATTTCAGCATTTAGGAAATAGACAAGAGAATCAGTTTAAGATCACCCTGACCTTAAGATCAGCCTTAGCTACACAGAGACTCTGTCACAAAACAAAAAAGCCTCTAAACCTAAAATCTATGTAATGTGTTGTGTCAAATGACTGCAAATTTGGAAAGACAGATATGCAAATAAGGAAATTTGTAATAGTAAAATCCAAGGTATGACATCAACTTTTACTTTTTTTAAAAAAAGTATGATTTTACTGGGGACTGGAGAGATGGCTCAACAGTTAAGAGCACCAGCTGCTCTTCCAGAGGACCTGGGTTCAATTCCCAGCACCCACATGGCAACACACAGCTGTTTGTAGCTCTTTTTCCAGGGGATCTGATGCCCTCATACAGATATGCATGAAGGAAAAACACCAATGTACACAAAATAAAAATACATTATTTTTAAAAGTATAATTTTACTTAAGTTTTCTGATGAAAGGCAAAGTCAGGTTTCTCAAATAATGACCAAAAAAGGCACAGCACAGCAACAACACACTCTCCAGTTGTAACTCTGGTTCTACCTCACCATGCTGCGAACCTTTTTAAATTCAATCTCCCCTTGCAATAACTGACCTAAAACAAATCACTTACTCATACTGTTTTACTTAAATGAAATATTAACTGATAACCAGTTTCTAATTTCAGAATGGTTCTAACTCTAGAAGAACTCACTTAGGAGAAATTTAGTTGCCATGTTCATGTAAACTAATTTTAGAAATGATGTAATATAGATGGCCATACTTTTTAAATGCACCAGCATCAATACATTTATAAATATGAGATATCAGAAATGGGGCATTGTCCCTTATGAAGAATAAAATATTAGATAAATAAAGAAAAGCACATTTCAATAATGGAAACAATGATTTCTATGAAACACAAAACTGAACAAAAAAAGGAAGAACAAATTTTATTCCACAGTAGCCCTTAGGAGAAGGCTAAAGTCCTTCATAGTTGATTACTCTAGTGAATACATCTGGTGGCTTGAGAAAAAGAACAACTGGTATCAGAAAACACACAATTAAAACCAGTGATTATATGTGGGGCTGAATAATTAGCAATATTAGCAAAGTCTAATTAAAAACTAGCAAGCACAAAACTTTTATGTGAAGACGGGTGTAAAGCTGCAGGTGGAGACCAGAGGACAGCCTTCAGTGTTGTTCCTCACGCAAGCTAGGGCTGGCTGGCCAGCGAGTCCCAGAGATCCTCCTATCTCACCTTTGGATTACAAGTGTGTACCACCGTAGCCATTTTTTTTTTTTGAGACAGGGTTTCTCTATGTAACAGTCTTGGCTGTCCTGGAACTCACTTTGTAGACCAGGCTAGCTTTGTACTTACTGAGATCCTCCTGCTTCTGCTTCCCATGTACCACCACTGCCAGCCCTCCCCCCCCTTTTTAAACATGGGTTCCAGGTATTGAACTCAAGACCCAAGCCTTCAAGTACTTTATCAACTGAGTCATCTTCTAGTCCCAAGCATGGAAACTTTAATTTAGTTGGCAAGCAACATTCCATGATATGAGAAAAGCTATTAAAAATAAGCTGTAGTTTCTAATTACTACCTTAAAAACAAAACAAAACTAAGCAAACTAAAAGGTAAATTATTTTTACTTTCAGGGCATTATAAAAATAAAAGCACTTCTTTGTATTTAACCACAACAAATACAAAAAAATACATTTATCATACGATCTGTCTTCCCCTAACATTAGAAGTACCAAACAATAGCCTTCTTCTGTGCTTGGAAAAGACAAGACCCCTACCTACCGGTTTGATGTCTCTGTGAAGGAATCCCACAGAGTGGATGCTCTCAATAGACTCCAGAATCTGTCTCCCGAGCCGAAGAGTAGTGCTAATGGTGAATGTGCCCCGGGACTGGCTACGTCGAAGATCTGCCAGATTCCGACCCTACGAAATTGGATAATCACTTTAAAACACAATCCTAATGTAGTGCTAAGACTCAACATTTACTATACTACCACATTATAAAATTCTATGATGGAAACAGTAAGGCTCCTGTCTAAGTTGGGATGTTCTAACTCAAAAAATTATGTCTTTGTGTACATGACTGTGGGTGCCCTTAGAAACCAGAGAGGACATCTAATCACCTAGAGCTGGAGTTAGAGATGGCTGTGAGCTGCTCAACATAGGGGCTGGAAACTGAACTGCAGTCCTCTGGAAAAGAAGCAACAGCTCTTAACCACTGAATCATCTTCTCTAGCCCTAAGCATAAGCATGCTGTTAGTAACCATGTTTCTAAGTCATCATGTTTTGATTTATCCTTGCTAGTCTAAAAAATGTAGACTTGACCCTTCTTTCCTTCCTTTCCTTTCTTTTCTTTCTTCCCGAGGGGGTCTCATGTATCCCAGGCTAACCTTCAACTTACTGTGCAACCAAGGATGACACTGAACTGATCTTGCCGCCAACTCCCAATTTCTGGGATTACCAGTGTGCATCACCATGCCAAATTTATGAAATGATGGGGACTGAACCCAGAGTCAGAGCTTAATGCATGCTAGTCAAACTATACCAACTAAGCTACATCATCAGCCCCTTACATGTGACTATTTTAAAGAATAAAATATAAAATACAGGCATCTGTACTAGTTTCATTTCTGTTGCTATGATAAACACCTTGTCAAAAAGTAACAAAGAAAGAGGTTTATATGGCTTACAATTTTTAAGTTACAGTTCATCATGTTTTGGGAAAGTCAAGAGAGCAACTCAAGCAGTTAGTCACATTACATGCAGAGTCAAGAGCAAAAAGAAAATGAACACATCCTTGCTTGCTTGCCCTCAGTTAGCTGTCTTCTCTTTTTCGGGGTTCAGGAGCTCCTGCCTAGGAATGGTGTTGTCCACAAAGGCTGTATCTTCCTACACCAACTAAAAATCAAGACACCCCGCCACAGCAGTACCAACCAGCTAACCAGACCTAGACAACTCCTGAGACTCCCCTTCCCAGGTGGTTCTGGGTTGCACCAAGTTTACACTAACCAGCACAATAGCCACAGCAGCATTCCTCATTACTACCCAACGCACTCCCTACAAGTTACTTAATTTTTACACACCAGTTTTTTAAATAGAAAAGTTAATTTTTTCACATAATTTTATGAGGATTAAATACAATCCATATGAAATTTCTGGAATATTGCCTAGTATTCAACAAATCCTAAGGACTATTATTATTAGAAAATATTATAGGAAATAGAAGGCCATAAAGGCCATCAAAAGTTTAAAACAACTAGGTATAGATACCTGGTATGAGTCAGCTAAAACATGAACTAGACATCTGGGGAGGTAGCTGGTACAGGATATCCAAGGAACTCAGAGTAAGCAGTGATGTAATCTCTTCTATAACTATTTCTGGCAAAATGCCATTTTTTCTTTTTTAAAGTTTCTAGAGACAGGGCCCTTTAACCACCTTAACTGTCCTGGAACTCAATTTGTAGACCAGGTTGGCTTCAAACTCACAGAGATCTGCCTGCCTCTGCCTCCCAAGATCTGGGACTAAAGGCGTGTACCACCAATATCAGGTAAATGCCATTTTTTAGTGTGGGCTTTTTTCCCCTACCAATATGACCTTGGGGTTGGAGGCAAGTATCCTTGCCTTAGACTTTGCCTGTGCAGGCTGTATGCTATGCTCACTTGTCTGTAAGCGCCTGCCTGCCTGTTAGTCTGTGTGCTAGTGAATAAACTATGTTATACATGCCTAAAACTTCTCATATACTCTTCAACTTCCTAGCCTCCTTCCCACCCTGGCATCAAAGCTCAGGCCTCACAAATATGATACAGTAAATATTCAGCTCTCAAAGAGGCCAGCCTGGTCTACAGAGGGAGTGCCAGGACAGCCAGGGCTGTTATATAAGCCCTGTCTTGAAAAAACAAACAAACAAAAAGTACATTCCAGATAATACCAAGATTTAATTTATAAACAACTACTAATGGGCAGTGGTGACTCATGCCTTTAATCCCAGCACTTGGGAGGCAGAGGCAGGAGGATCTCTGTGAGTTTGAGGTTAGCCATCTACAGAGTGAGTTCCAGGACAGCCAGCAACGTTTCACAGTGAAACTCAAAAAAGCAAAACAAAACAAAAACAAAAACACAAAACCAAAAAACTACTACCATAAGAACTCAATGGAATCAACATGATTAATGATATCAGAAATTATTTAAATATCATAAAATGTAATTTCAATGTATGAACTGGTGATTGGGGCATAATGTCTCATGCCTATAATTCTAGTAGTTTTTGTTATTGTTGTTATTAAGACAAGTCTTCTGTAGCCCAAGCTAGACTACATCTTACTATGTGGCAGAGGACTGACTTTAAATTCTTTTTTTTGTTTTTTGTTTGTTTGATTGTTTTTGAGACAGGGTTTATGTAGCTCTTGTATGCCCTGGAACTTGCCATGTTGACTTTGAATTCTTATACTCCTGCCTCTATCGCAAGATTGGGAATTATAGGAGCGTACCATCACACAGAGCTAATCTCAACATTAGGGAGACAAAAGTTAAGGCCAGCCTGTACTACAAAGTGAGATAGCTCCACGAAAGCCTGAGCTATAGAATGAGATCCCCATTCATAACAACAGCAACAACACACACACCAGAAAAAAAAAACTAACAAAATCTGGGAGGATAAATACAAGGCTGACACAAGAATGATGTGTAGGGAGGAGGGCTTGTTTTTTTAAAAGGGGGATCTTTTCATAAAGTAATTCGCAAGAAATTTTTTAGAGCTTATTTCTACCAAGTAATTCTATAAATTTAACAAGATGAAACTACATTTTGTTGTTGTTTGAGTAATGAAAGTGCATAAGACCAGGAATGGTTCCACATACCTGCATTCTGGTACTCGGGAGACAGAGACTATTGGCAAAAGTTTGAGGCTAACCTAGTCTACAAAGGGACTTCTAGGCCAAATGTGGTTACACAGCAAGATCCTATCATACCCACCCAGTCGCAAAAAGACAAACATGATATGTACTCACTCATATATGGATTTTAGACATGGATCAGGATAGTGCCAGTCTGCACTTCAACAGATAGAGAGTCTGGGAAACAGGAAAGAACCTAAAAGATATGCATATATACATAGTACCCAAGAGAAGAGGATGGAGACAAGATCCTCTGAATGGATGGGGAACACGGCGAGGGGTGGGGGGGAGTGGGAACTGGGAATAGAGGGGGTAAAGAGGAAGGGAGTTGGTCATGGGGGAACAGGAAGTTGAGGGGGTGGGGGTAGAATAGGGGGAAGAGGGAATCATAGGATCGAAGACAGATCAGGCACCAGAGTGACCTCGAGTGATCTAAAGGTATAACATTAATTGGCAAGCTAAGCAATAGTGGAGGGACCACCTCGAATGCCCATTCCTGATAATGAACTTGATGTCTATAGCCATCCGGGAGCCTTCATCCTGTGACTGATGGAAGCAGAGGCAAACACACAACTAATCACTGAACTGAACCCAAGGAACCCAGTGACAGAGAGAGAGGAGTGATGAGCAAATTGGCAAAGAATGGGCTGGCAAAACCAGCAGAGACAGCTGATCTGAACAGGGGAGAGCTCTTGGACCCCAGACCGACAGTGGGGAGGCCAGCATGGGACTGATCTGGACCTCCCAAATGTGAGTGTCAGTGAGAAGGCCTGGGCAACCTATGGGGCCCTGAGCTGTGGATCAGTGTGCATCCCTGATATACAAACTGTCTTCATGTGCCTATAGCACAAAGAGAGATGCTCTCTCAGCCTGGACTCTTAGGGGAGTGCCTTGACCCTACCAAGAGTAAAATGACAGACTCTAGATATCCCCTATGTGGAAGGATTTGGCAATAGGGTGGGAGGGAGGGGGGGAAGGGGAGTGCGGGAAGAGGGGAGGGAGAGGGAACTGGGATTGACATGTAAAACAAGCTATTTAAAATTAAAATAAAAAATGATAAAAAAAAGATCCTATCATACACAAAAAATTAAATAAATAACTAAATAAAAAAAGAAAGAGAAAAAAGACAGAGACACAGACACAGAGACAGATGTTGGGTAAGGAAGAGGATGAGATCCAAAGGAAGGGGAAAGAGACTAGGTAACACCTAATGGAGAGAGTAATGCAGTGAACTCCCCAAATAAGAGGTCAGTAACCAAGCATAGTAGCTAATAATGATAACAAGCCCAGATGTGCTTGTTCAAACCTGTAATATCAGCACATGACAGGTGGAGGCCTAAGGATTAGGATGTCAAGGCACTTCTAGGGTACATACTAAGTGCAAGACCAAAGTGCAAGACCAGCCTAGGCTACATGAAATCCTGTCTTAAAAAAACAAAAACTCAGCCGAGTGGTGGTGGTACATGCCTTCAATCCCAGCACTTGGGAGGCAGAGGCAGGCAGATCTCTGTGAGTTTGAGAGACCAGCCTGGTCTATAGAGCTAGTTCTAGGACAAGCTCCAAAGCTACAGAGAAACCCTGTCTCGAAAAACCAAAAGCAAAAAAAAAAAAAAAAAAAAAAAAAACCCAAAACAACAACAACAAAACAAACAAAAACCAAAAAAAACCCACACAAAAATAAAATAAACAAAAACAAATATAAAAACAGAAAAAGTAACAATCACTTCACTGCCAATATATTTTCATAAATGATATGCCTCCTCAAACACAACTCTCTCCCATTCTAAATATATTAGATTATTTTCATGTTTCATAAATTCAATGATATTTTATCTATATATTAACAAGTACATATGACAAAAAAATAAAAATATAGAAAGAAGTAATCAGCATGTCTGCTATTACAAATTTGACTTAGAAACATCAATACTTTCTTCAAACTGGACTTTATATTTGTTTTGTTTTTCAAGACAGGGTTTCTCTGTGTAGCCCTGAATATCCTGGAACTCACTTTGTAGACCAGGCTGGCCCAGGGGTGGGGAGGAGGGAGAGAGAGACAGAGAGGGGGAAGAAGGGAGGGAGGGAGGAGAGAGAGAGAGAGAGAGAGAGAGAGAGAGAGAGAGAGAGAGAGAGAGAGAGAGAGAGGGAGAGGGAGAGGGAGAGGGAGAGGGAGAGGGAGAGGGAGAGGGAGAGGGAGAGGGAGAGGGAGAGGGAGAGGGAGGGAAGGAGGGAGAGAGAGAAGAAAAAAAATCTGAAAATTAATGTTTGGTGCTACTTTTTTCCAGGCAAAACTATATAAATATAGTTCACACTAGTGGTCAATATGAGAGAAAACAGGGACCACATTAATGAAATGAAAAATGAAAGAAGGTAATCACTTGAATAAATTAAAGTATGCTAACTTGAAATGAGGAACTGTGTAACTCAGAAAGACTTTAAGGGCCTGTGAGATGGCGCAGCAGGCACAGGTACTTGCTGCCTACTCTGATGCCCAAGTTCAAACCCAGGGACCCATATGGAGAAGGAGAGACCCAACTCCTAAAAGTTGTCCTTTGACCTCCACACACAGCATGACAAACTCCTCCAACTCCCAATTAGTTAATTTTAAAGAAGACTAAGCCAACCATGGTGAAATCTTAGAAATCAGGAGGCTAAGGTAGGGGATCCTGAGGTTAAGGTCAGGCTTAGCTATACAGTGAACTCAAAATCATCTTGTGCTACTCAGTGAGACCATATTTTAAAAAGATCAACAACAACTACATAGCTTACAGGAAGGGTGACATCAAATACTGAAGAATACTTGAGAAAAAGACAAAGAAAAGCTTTCTGAAATGAAGGGGAAACATTTAAGTGAGAGTTATGAATTTAAATATGTAAATAACATGAAAGAAAACAAAGAAACCAAATGCCCAAAATAAAGTCTGCTAAAGATGAACGTAAACTGTGCATACTGAAAATCAGGCAGTGAACCATAACTGCCTGTGCTTAAAGGCAGAGGCAACGTCAAGGAAATGAATAGGTTCCTGATTCTCCCTATTGTAACTGTTACTTTTGCATTTTCTTTATGAACTGCTACTTTTTCAGCAAACTCTATTCCCATCTAAAAGGGAATGAACAGTGCTATGCTGATAGAAAAAGAAAGTGAAATAGCATTCATCCTTTACTCTAACTAATGCTTACAAATTTTAATGAAGAGGCTGGTACTTGAGAGCATGAGTGGAGATTTGAAATGCCTGAGATAGGAAACATGAAAAGGGAAGGAACATGTAAAGACAAGGTTCAATATAGCCCATGATCCATTTTAAGATTAAACAGTATGAAAAAATGACAACCAATAAAGGTACAGATAAACTAAAATAGATGACCATTTAATTTTTTGGTAACTCTATAGCAAGTTTAAATAAATCTCCATGTACACAGTGTACAGCATTTGGACACGATAAAAAGAATGCTGTCATTTTTATGCACTGCACTGTAACTGGGTATTTTGATAAAAACTAAAAGATTTTAAGATGCATTTTTCAAGGTAACATACCTGCAATTGCATGACCACATAGTTGAAACGATCATTTCTCCCACAGCCAATAAATCTACAAACATGGTCTTTCCCTGGATGAAAAAAGAAAGAAAACAGTGGAAAAGGATATACTATGGTTTCTCCTTTAAAAAATTAACAAATTGGATTTCTATATAGTACTTTACATTTACTTTTTATTTATCTATTTATTTGGTTTTTGAGACAGGGTTTCTCTGTAGCTGAAGCCTGTCCTGGAACTCACTCTGTAGACCAGGCTGGCCTCGAAATCACAGAGATCGCCTGCCTCTGCCTCCCAAGTGCTGGGATTAAAGATCCATTAAAGATTAACGCCCAGTTCTGTTTAGTACTTTATGACCATGTAAATTATATAAAATGCATTTTGAAACCATAGGAAGAGGAAATTAATATTACTTATTCTTATCCACCCATCACTAGGTCCTGCTCTGGTCCTTGCATACTCAAATTTTAAATAAGTAAAGAAATAAATAAGGGAATAACTAAAGGTCATTTAGTTAGAAAGAAGAATATTTAAAAAGTCACTTAAGATTAACCTGAGCAGACACAGTAAGAACTATGTTAGACATACAAACACTTAATTTTACACACATTCTGACATATACCAGTTACATTACTGAAACAAGTTACATGATCTTTTTTGGTCTCACTGATTTGGATCAGCCTTGTGCATTTCAACTCTAGTTTAACACATGCAATCCAAGACTAGTTGAGATATATAGAAGGAATGAGAAAAAAAGAAAGAAATCTGGAACCATCTCCTGATTTAAGAAAGTATACTACCATCCCCAAAACAATCAAGCCCAGGAAATTACACTTGACTCAACACAGAAAACGGGGGAGCACACAGACATGGTGCTGGAGAGGCAGGCAGGAATTACATGAAGAATTTGAACTTTAGGTCAGTGGTTTCCAGCTGTGCCTATCATCACAAACACCTGGAAAACTTGATTCCTAAATGCCACATCTATATGGAAAAGATACAACTTTTCAAAATTCTATAGATGAGTTGGGGACTGAGAGGGCAGATAAAGGCGGGAAAGTTTAAGGCCAGCCTCCATTACATGAGTTCAAGGTCAGCCTGGGCCAAATGGTCAGACAATCTTAGAAGACAGAAACAAAAGCCCTGTGAAAACAAAGAAGAAACTCTAAAATATAAATTTGCAACTTAAAATGTAAATCAGCATGAACAAAAATAAAGCATCCTTCAAAAAAGAAAACACACAATACCTAGACAGGAAGAAAATTCTGAGACCAGGTTAATTACGGAAATGACACATTCCATAGCAAAGTTCACCCATGGGCTCAGGATCATCAGGTAAGAGTGCTTCATTCATGAGGAGGCAGAGACAGAATGATTGCTAAGACTTGCTAGACGAAAAACTGACTTGCAGAGACAGTGAGAGATCCTGTCTAAAGGGCAGGAGGCAAAAAGCAATAGAGGAGGATGTACAATCCTTCCGCTGGCCTCTTCACAGGTGTCCATGGTGGGCATACACATACATTATGTGCACACATGCACGCATGTGCACATGTGTGCGCGCACACACGCACACACACGTACACACACAGCGAAGGGTACTCATATAAATAGTCATTAGAGATTGGAAGGGATAGAAGCCAATTTATAGAGGGTAAATGAAATATGAGACAATGAGAGTAGACAATCTCTGAAGCTAGCTTGTAAAAATAAAACAGTGACACACCAGAGTCTAAAAATCTGTCAAGAGTCAAGAAAAAGATTAAAACAAGTTGCAAAAGTAATTTGTTCACTTAAAATAAAATGCAGTCAAGTCTCACTTTTGCTAATAATTTAACATCTGATGGAGAATGTCCTTCTATATGTTTCTCTTATGGGTTGATGAATAAAACACTGGCCAATAGGGGCAGGAAGATAGGTGCTACAAGGAGATGAGAATTCTTGGAAAGGTAGCCAGAGGGAGACCTCAAGAGAATGCCATGTAGGGACCGGGAGGATAGGATGCACCAGGTATTCTTTGGTAAGATAAGGCCTTGTAGAAATACATAGGTTAGTAGTAACGGGTTAATAATTAACACAGAGCTAGCCAATAAGCAGCCCTAGCTATCAGCCAAAAGCTTTATAATTAATATAGTGTCCGTGTGTTTTTGGGGGGCTCAAGGGCAGCAGAACCTGGTGGGACAAAAGAAAACTCTAGCAACAAACACTGTTGGTTTGGTCTGGTTTGGCTTTTAGAAACAAAGTTTTATTAGCCTAGGATTACCTTAAAATCCTGGGTGCTGGAATTACAGGCCTGTAATTTTTTTTTTTCAAATCTGGGTTATCAGTTAACACACTGATGATCAATTAGCAACCTTTCACTTAACTTCAGTCATGGAAAACGTACAAAGCTTTAATTAATCAATTTGCTGTCAATACTTTGAGACCTCATTTTCATTGCTGGAAATACACTAAAGTGAATACAGCACTTTATAGCACGCATGAAACTTGAGATTCTATCCCTAACACTATAAAAGAACAAAACCAAACAAGAAAAAGATTAATCATTTGTCACACTTTAAATCGTGGGATTACAAGTATAGACTATTGTGCCCAGCTTCTTGCAACATTTACATTATATCCAAGACATTTCAATCATATGAAAACAAAAGACAGTACTAGATTTAATTCCTTTTAGCATGCTCCTCTAAAATATCTATATTATACTATAACACTTAGTACCTTGCTATCAAAATCACCCAGCTTTTTGCTGTTTTGTTTGTTTGTTTAGCAGTACTGGGGACTGAATCAACTATCCTCTACGTGCTAGTCAAGTACTCTACCCCTAAGATAAACCCTCCCCCCCAGCCTCTTATTTTACTTTTCATCTTGAGGCATTTTCAACGAGTTGCCTAAACTAGCCCTGAACTTCTGTCCCTCCTATCTGCCTCCAGAGTGCCAGGATTATAGGCTTACATCACACACTTAGCTTGAATTACTTTGCTTTAAAAAAGAAAAACAAATACAGATTTGAGTAAACTGTTAATTTTGTATTGAGCAATCAAAACATGGTCAGTAGCAGATTCCCTAGGATCTATCAATTCATTTTATCACCAGGTGATAATTTAATGCATTCATTTTCCATACTTTATAGTAAGTGCATTGTTTCTCTTTTATATTTATGTAATTAATGAAACAATTTAATAAAGTTAACTCAATAAAAACATGTGTCTGAAGCAGCTTCAACCACCACTAGAACAACTGCTCAAATGACTTCTATGTACCCAGTAAATGCCAAGGCTCACTGAGGCATACAGGGAGCACATATTGTCCCAGTACCTAATGCAATACCTAATAAAGTGAGGCAATATTTGCAAGTGAATAAATTAAAGAGAAATAATAGTTAATATATACAATATGCAAGCATTACTCCATTTTATGTGTTTTCATGCATTTGATTCTCATAATGCTATAAGATTATTAGCATTTCCTTTGTTTTTCAAATACAGAAGTAGAGAATTGGTAAGGTCAGTTTCTTAGTCCAAAATCATACAGCTACAAAATGATGCTGCAATTTGATCCCAAAGCTTTTATTCTTTTTTAATTATATTTATTTACTTATTTATTAGAGGAGTGTGTTTGAGTATGCTAGACACTCTTGTGCAGGTCAAAAGACAACTTGTGGCAGTTCTCTCTCAACTTCTGGGTCCCAGAAATGAAACAGCTTGTAAGGCTTGGTGGCAAGTACCTTTACCAGCTGAGCCACCTTTCTGGTCCTAGAAAAACCTTTATTCTTAACTATTACATCAGAAACAACTGAAACAGATCTTAAACTCAGATAATATTTTGTTAATAAATATGAAAACAAACCTGGGTCTAGCAGTGCAGCTACCTGAGAGGCTAAGGAGAAGAATGACAAATTCAAGACCTGCCTGGGTATCTGAGTGAGTTAGAAAGATCCTGCCTCAAAACACAACGCACAGAGGGCAGTGAGGTACAGCTCAGTGATAAAGCATTTTCCTAGTGTACACAAAACTGTAGGTTCAACCCCCCCAGGACCCCCGACAAATTAATATTAAAACTAAAAGGGCACACAAAGAGAACAAGATCTATCTATATATACCCAAGTAACTAAAAATAAGTACTAAAAACCAAGGTCAATTAAGTTCTCTGACTTAAGCTCACAGTCCATATACGAACACAAAGGATTAACAGAATATAAGGTCTATAAACATTATAAGGCTCAACAAATACACAGAAGATTTAAAAAATTTACTCTTGCTGGGCAGTGGTGGTTACCCACCTTTTATCCTAGCACTTGGTAGCCAAATCTCTGTGAGTTCAAGGCTAACCTGATCTACAGAATGAGTCCCAGGACAGCCAGGGCTACACAGAGAAACCCTGTCTAGGAAAAAAAAGGAAAAAGAAAATTTTACTCAAGAAGCTCACATGTAAGTCAAATTAGTAGATTTTAAATGTATGAGGATATTTTTAAGATAAAACTAGAAAATTAAGATTGTACATGTAAAAAGTTACAATCAGCCATAAAGAAAGAAATGTGTCAGTTGCTGGAAAATGTAGCTAGAGATTTTCATATTAAGTGAAATAAGCAAGACTCAGAAAGGCAGACAATATGTTTTCTCTTAATAAGGAATGTACATGTGCGTGAACATACATGTGTGTATTCAGGAGTGAGTGTGTTACTCCTCTTCATGCTGTGAGACACGACCAGACAAAAGCAGCTTAAGGAAGAACAGGTTTATTTTGGCTCATGGTTGAAAGAGACAGTACATCATAATTGGTAAGCTGCTCACACCGATCTGTAGCCAAACAGCACAGGGAATGAATGCTGGCCCTCAGCTTGCTTTTTCTTTGTAATCAATTCAGAACCCAAGACCATGGAATGGTCCCACTCATGCTTATGTTAAATCTTCCTACCTCAATTCACCTAATTTGGAAACACCTGTGTAGGCATGCCCTAAGATTTGTTTCTTGGGTGATTCTAGATCTTGTCAAGTTGACAATTAGGATTAGCCACACACACATTTAACCATGATACCACATGCACCCCCACCACCACTGAAAAAGATACACAAC